TAGATGGTCTCACTACCACAACATATGTCAATAACAGGTGTAGGCACTAGATGGAACAGTGCCTACAATAAGTGCTCAAAGTTTCTGGAAATTCAGTGTGCTGTACTTGCAGTGTTATGGATAAAACAGCTATCCCAGGTCAAGGACAAAGATTTCAATACTTTTTTTATGAAGGTCTCACCTTGTGACAGTAAATCATTTCATTTCTGAAACCTTTGAAAGACATAACAATAGCACCTCATACACAGAAAACACATTCAATATCCATCACCATGCTTCTTTCCCATCAGCTACTCAACACTTTAAGACGAAAAGATGGAGACTGTTCTATTGTAACAGACAAGAAGTCTGTATCTGCTAAAGATTCCGAGCAAGGAGGGAAATATTGAGCACTACAACAGCCATTCAACTCAAGATTTATAGTTAACAATCACGGTAACGAGGAGAGATTTGATGTTTTCAACAAGCTTACACTTTCAAATGATATAAGAGCTAGAGGCAAATCTTTGAGTGAGCCTGCACTGCCATACTTCACAAATAATGAAGATGTTCTTTCCACCAAGAATAAACCAAAGCCTGAGTGTGCCTCTACACCTATTTCCTCTTGTTTGATCTGTGGTGAATCTACCCCCCCCCCCAAAGCATCCCTTTGTACTTGCAGAATAAGAAGTTTACCACTTCAAAGTAATGACCTCTGTTGGTCTGGGAAAGAATCCACTTCTTTGATGGAGGGAAGATTTATGAAAACTGCCAACTACTGATACACCTGCAAAGTACTTGTTGTGTATCCCAGCAACCATTGTTCCTTCTCAAAATGTATTGTAAACTGCATGGTACAATGTGTTAGCCAAAACTCTTAAATCAGATGTCCAGCTGGCAAAATGTCAGTGGGTTTATACTGCATAGCCAGTGACCATCAATGAGCATTGGCTTTTTTTTTTACCAGTTGATAATCTGGTCACAATTAATATTCATATTAGCTGTAAACAATACTTATAATTATTAAAAACTAGCTGCAATGTTTGTAACTATAACTAACACAGGTGTAAAATTCAATAGCATATTAACAAGTAGGCAAGCTATTAAGGTGATAAATTCTCTTTTAACTGAAAATATCATTAAGCTGTAGTTGTTGGATACTGTTAATTAGTTGATTAGTCTATCAGTTATTAGTCTGATGCCTTGTCAGTTTTACCATGTGTTAATTAGATTTACATAAGATAAATTTAAGCATGAATTCACCACCTTATATATTTCTATAATTTTATTACACTCTGGAGACACAACAAAAATAAATACTAGGGTTAGCAAGTCAGTCAAGTGAACAGTAAAAAAAAAAAGTAAAACCTATATTAAATACAATAAATACTAGGGTTAGCAAGTCAGTCAAGTAAACAGTAAAAAAAAGTAAAAACCTATATTAAATACAATAAATACTAGGGTTAGCAAGTCAGTCAAGTGAACAGTAAAAAAAAAGTAAAACCTATATTAAATACAATAAATACTAGAGTTAGCAAGTCAGTCAAGTGAACAGTAAAAAAAAGTAAAACCTATATTAAATACAATAAATACTCGCATATTAACTGAGGTTTTTGAATTAACTTTTAGGCTCCCATATCTCCTCTCTTGTTAAAATTAAGTCTTGGAGTTTAAACCTATACAAGCTAAGTATTTAATCCAAACAATAAGTTTAATATATTTTCATTTTCATGAAACAATTACTTTTTTCACATATTTGGTAAATATTATATACATATTAATTTAATATAATACAAGAGTTTAAAACTGCCCTGTTCTTCAACCACTGAAAAATGGTGTTATACTACATTGTTTTATAATATCCCTCAATTTTATAGTGCCGATAGCTTCATTTCTTTTAAACTTGCAATATAAATTCAAAACATTATATAACATACTATTAAAAATAGTTATTTGAAATAACTGTTAATTATTTAAAATATATATAAGGTAAAAATGGAAGTGCTGTATTCAGCATTGCCTTTGTTGTTGTCAGTAGACAGAAAATGAACCTATATTTTCATGTAATCCACATTCAACTAAGTAAAACAACAGATATTCAATTATTTAAATAATCTATTTTTCTGACAAGTCAAATCTCCAATCCTCATAAATACTCCTGTAAAATAAATGAAATAAATATGAATAACAAAGGACAATTAATTAATAAAAGGCATAGATACCGAGTATGGAGTGAAGGTCAAGAAATGCTTTATTTAATGTACTATTTAGACCTATAAAAGTTTGGAACATGGAATCATCAAAACATATGAACTGTCTAGACTACATTTAGTATTGGAGGACACCAGATGTATACACACACACTAGCCACAACCAGAAAAAACATTTGTGGTAGTTTTTAAGTTCTTCTCTTGAATTTTCTTTGTTCTATCATTTTCACATGCATTATTTAAGCTATGCTTTCTAGCAGGCATCAAGTTACATTGATAAATCCAGGTCTATTTGAAAAATTTAACATGGTCAGACAAACAGACTTACATTATTTAATAAAACTACACATAAAGTAAACAATACAGGAAAATAATGGATTCTATAAGTTTACAGATTATGAAACAGTTATGAACGTTCAGTGTATGACGTGTTTATGAGTTGAAACAAAGAAACTCGCAAAAATGAAGCAATAGTAAATAAAAAATACCTAAAAGCTGTTTATAGCTATGTGTGAAAGAACCAAAGCTAAATTATTGCAAAGTAAATAAATGTAAAGTTGTAATGAAGGCAAACTTAGCTGAATATGCTGAAACATCTGAATGCATTCACAAAGTGATAAGCATATGGTTTTGAACGAACTGCTCATGCATATTTTAGACCTAAATAAGTTGAGTAGCATGGCAAGTAGCAAACAAGTACAAAGTTCGTAACTAGAAGAGATAATTGTTTACTATACTCTTTATTTACTGTACTATGTTTTAAGAAAAATAAGTTTAAGAACTTATTTGTAGCTAATAATAATCTATATACATATGTACCGTATAATAATTGAATTGTGACTGTATTTTACAAAATACTAGTCCACTAAAACACAGCCAAGAGAGGTCACTTTGTAGTTTTATATTTTTGGATATGGTAACATGAGTACACATGCGCTGTGTCATTGAAACTTCTGTACTGTTAGCCAAGCACAGCTGGAAGGTCAATATAATAAAAATAATAAATATTTATAAATGTATAACATTATGACATTTAAGCTATTTAGACTAAACATTTGTGTTTTGTGTTATAATATATAGTCATTCTAAAATGAAAATAGCATAATTTATATTAATTTCCTAATTTTTTATGGTGGTTAAGAGATCAGTCAAATCTACAAAATCCATATAGAGATTAATTAGTGAGAATAACAGATAAAATAGGTTTTTTTTAAAAAAAAGGTTTGATAATAATTTGGACATTATAAAGATTTTGCATGTGAAATTTGAAAATTATCTGACATAAATGTATTTTTAATCTTAAAATGAAAATTACTTTGTATGATAGATAGACAACATATGAAAATAAAAAAAGGCATGATAAAAACATTGCTTTACAAGCCTTAAGACTTAATAAAAAAAAAGGTATTTTATGTACGAAAGCATTGTAATGTTTACTGATAATCTGCCAAATTTCATTAACATACGCTTAATAATTAAAAAGTTATAGCATGAAAACTGTAACAAGCACAAAATGATTATGAGGTCAGTCCCAGGGACCGAGCCCACGCTGACAAATCTAATTCTTACTGATTTCTATAAGAAATAAACAACTCGTGCTTCAATGTTGACTGAAACTACTGAACACTATTCATTTTTTACTATATAGTTCCTATACTTTACTAGAATGATACTGCTAAATCTGACAACCAGTAGTGGTGAATCAGTATACTTCTTGTATGATTTGTTTTACTGCAATGTAGAATATAACTAGTGGATGAAATAGTTTGACTTTTCAGAATTACTTTCTACAGTTTATGTAGCCACTGCAAATAAAATATTTTTATACAAGATATCTGAATGAATTTTCAGCTTGTTGAAACAATTTAATCGAAATGTTTTTTTTTATGGAACAATAAAAAATGATTGTTGTAGTTTTAATTACTGTTTTGTAAGACTTAAAATTTCCACACAGTTTTTATTCAATAAAGCTGTAAATTTTTTGCTTTGATTCAAAAATACAGCACAGTTTCACTGTGTTTATGATCACTAGAGTACAATAAATAATAACTTTTTTACCATAGCCCAAATTTTTATATTACCAATCAAAAGGTTTCATTCAATATATATATATAATTAAGTTTTAAACCCATTTTTATATTAAAGTTGATACACACCAATGAAAATAAGGTCAAATACAAAATGATTTCACTAAGCCTACATCTCATTCCCAGGATATTAAACGTAAAGCCAAAAAGGCTTTAATTTTAGAGATGATTAACATTGATTGTCAGTACAAAATGATGAAAGCTTTGCATTTGATGTGTTGCTGGAAGAAAGGGTATTTGTGAGCAACATTCACTACAATTACAGACCTGTTTGTGAAAGTCATGCTCTGTTATTTTGTACTTCATTTGAACTGATTGTAAAGTACAGTAGGAAAAGAAATTTTTTTTTTTTGTATATCTACAGAAGTGGGTTATACTGTCCTCCATGTCGGCTTATTTGAAAATAACCCAAAAGCTACAGAGTAACTTAAGGATGCAGTAACACGAGAGGCGTATGTAATTTCCAAGGACACAATTCAATGTTGCTCTCAATAATACAATGTTATATCATTGTAAGGATACTGAACAAGTCATTCAATACTGCCAAATTCTGTACTATTTATGTCAAATAGCATTTACTATCAATACAAATTTAAGCTGTATAGAAATGTCAGCCTGTATTTTAACAGACCTGTAATAAAAATTATTAAAATTGAAGTAAAAAACTTACACACTCACATTAACATCTTTCAAACTTGTTACGTCTTAGAAATTAAATACTTACCTAAACCGGTGCGAATAAATGCAGATGTAGAAGTGAAGGAACCAGGAACTGTGCTCCTAATTTCTGCTTGGACTTTTTGTTCTTCTTCATCACTATCTAAAACATGAGCTTTTAAATAAGCCATTAACTGAGGAGTTGCACGTTTTCTCCACAAAAAGTAGTCCATCATATTCCCACCATTTTGAAGGAAAAAAAATTCAGTCAAATGTTCGGTATATTTATCTTTGTTTCTCTTCAACTGCTGAATTTTATGTGCTAATATTTTATTACGCATTCTTGCAGTTTCTTCATTTGGAGGCGGTTTTAGTTCCAGTTTAAGTCTTTTAGGTTTCGGACTTGAATGTGGACTTAAGTTTCTATTTGTTACAGGACTTACTGAATAAGTTTTGGAGGGAGGTCCTCCTACACCAATGGCATTATTAGAAGTCACACTATTTACAGTAGGCATTGTATTATTACTGACACTTGACATACATGTATTTACAGAAGTACTATGGGAACTATTAGCATTTCGTTTATTTGAAGTCTGCCCCTGTGCAACTTGGCATGACAGGGAAGGTACAACCTTAGACTGTGGAATCAGATTAGATACTGAAGATGCCAGATAGCTCTGATTAGGTGTTCCAACCTGCAGAACAGTGCTGCCACTCTGAACAGCTAGAGGGCCCGTAACAGTGTTAGCACTTGCTAAGCTATAGGAATGAACTCTGTTGACGTTGCTTCTCTGTACATGTAAAGCACCAGTAGGATTCAGAAGAATGGCCTGTTGCTGCTGATGTCCTAAAACTGCTGTTCCTGTTCCAGACGTTGTTAAGCACACACCAGCACCATCTTGTCTCCCTGTTCTTACCACTGTCCTCTGAGGCATGCTCACAGTAGCAACAGGAAGAGTAAGAACAGTGGAGCCTACTGTTCCTAGTTTCTGTAACTGGACATTCTGTACACTCACTGCAGTGACAGGCACAGTGGACTGTGCCTGCAGCTGAGAATGACCTGTTAACCCAATGTCGGAGGTTGTGACAGGACGGTTCCCGGTTCGAACATTGTAACTCTGACTGGCTGCAGCAAGAATACGTGCTAAGCCTTGTGGTGAACTAATAGCATAAGATGTTGATGAAACACTTGCTTCAGTCTGTGCAGTTCTGGTTGTTCTAACTGATCCTTGTTGTAAAGACACTGGAAAAAATAACAAACATTTGTAATTATTTTGTTCTCAAAGAGAAGTAGTCCTTAGTTATAACTCAAAAGCAAAGAGAAAAAAAACTTCCACTGAAAGTAAAAAAACAGAAAAATTACAACTTTCTTCCACACATTTTTACCCTCACCCGCCGAGGGTATTGCAATCGTGTGTGTCAACATTTCTGTGCACGTATCTTGAAAACTATCATACCAATGTACATGAAAATTTTACACAAACTGGGACAGTCCTCACCAAATTTGGTCAGATCCTTATCTGGATCAATTTGAAGCATTTCTGATAATTTTGCAGTTTTGGTTTAATAGCTCTGTAAAGTGTGATTGAACTTGTACCAAATATCAAGGGCACATTAAGGTTGAGACTCCTCATCCAGCTAAAAAAAACTGATCTGGATCATTGATCATTCTAGACCTGAAAAAGGTTTTCGAAGTTTTTGAAGGTGAAAATGCAAGTAATCTCAAAAAGGAGTGGGGAGTAAGGGTATGCAATCTCTCTGATTGCTTTTGTTAAGGGTACCAATGATATTTGGTATAGACCACACAGATCAAACATTAGCAATTTTACTACAGAAAATCACAAACTCAGAGTTCCATAAAGGCTTCACATAGGCCTGATTAAGGTCAAAGTTCTATAAAGGGTTCACATAGGCCTGATTAAGGTCAAAGTTCTAAAAAGAACTCATATAGGCCTGATTAAGGTCAAAGTTCTATAATGGATTCACATAGGTCTGATTAAGGTCAATAATCTATAATGGATTCACATAGGTCTGATTAAGGTCAATAATCTATAAAGGATTCACATAGGCCTGATTAAGGTCAAAGATCTATAAAGGATTCACATAGGCCTGATTAAGGTCAAAGTTCTAAAAAGGATTCATATTGGCCTGATTAAGGTCAAAGTTTCATAAAGGGTTCACATACGCCTATTTGATGTCATTTTCTTAACAGAGAAAATTTTCCAGATTGTGGTATACTTAAGCATAAAAAAAAAAGTCCTAAAATGAGCTCCAAGTTTCTTTACTTAAAATAATTACTATTAATTTCGTATTTCAATGTATCTGATGCAATACTTTAATAGTCTCAATACTTAAGAGTTAGCCACACCTTGAGTTCAAACAATCATGTTGACTGACTTTTATTTCATAACCAATATTTGCAACTTACTTAATTCAAAACAGTGTTGGCAGATCTCTTCTAATTCAAAGTATTCAAATAAAAAACATAAAATTAGCATATTTCATATATATTATACACATTCATTGTATAAATACTCAAATTAAAGAAAATGTACATTCCAGTCCCACTTAATGTCTCAAAATGTAGATAATATATACTTAGTGTGACCCATTCAATTTCACTTACTTCATTACTAAAAAAATATATTCACAGTGTGTCATGCACTGGCATCTGGGTAAATCACAACAAATAACAATAATCTCTTTGAACAGCTTTTCCTATTCTTAAAACTATTTTAAAAAAGGCTGGTAAAAAGCTTAAAACAACATTAAATTCATATACAAGGGTTGTCTGAAAAGTTCATGGCACAATCAAAAATGTACAATTTTTCTCTGATAATTATTAAGTTTGAACCTATTTATATGTAAACAACACTTAAAGAGTGAGCAGTTTTAAACGTCATGGGAGGAGATTGAATTTTGTCCTGTGATCAAATATGACACTGCAAGAAATTTACCAAGACATGAAAGCAGCATTGGGGGAGGTTGTTTCATCATATTCAACAGCAATAAAGTGGTACGCCAAGTTTAAGGTCAGACTGGACAACAACCAGAACAGATAAATTTAATGATTTGGTTACATATGATAGAAGAATTACCATTAGAAAGTTAGCAGAGAAATTGCAAATCACTAACGTGCTGTAGTAATCGTTACAATTGACAGTTTGAGCAAGAGTAAGATTAGTGCCAGATGGGTTCCAAACATGTTGTCATCCGAGCAAAAATGAATTAGTTGTCTAAAGCCAATTCCTACTCCAAAGGTTTCAACTATGGATGGGTTCACCATCTTGACCCAGAGACAAAATTGCAAAGTTTGCAATGGAAATACCCAAGTTCACCAGCCTCAAAGGAGTTACACTGCATCAGTTTCATGGGATACCAAGGCACTTTACTAGTTGGTTATTTAAAAATGGGTCAATTCATTGCAGGTGATTACTATGCATTCTTAATCAACAACTTACATCAAGAAACCAAAGAAAATAGTATTTCTCAAAAAAGGTGTACTCTTCCATCAAGACAATGTCCCACCTCATAAATTGTGTAAAGCTTTGAATACTGTCCACGATGCTGGCTTTAAGTTACTCGATTCCCACTAACCAGCTGCATCCCAAGTGACTTTATTTCTCTTCCCTAACCTTATAATTATTCTGAAAGTTCAAAGATTTCAGAGTGATGATCATCTTGCAAATACAGTCCAATCATGGATTGAGGACAAAGAAGAGTTCTTCCAAAAGGTCATAAAGGCATTAAACCCAGGAGCAGATTATGTTTAAAAACCGTAATTTAACCAGTCTCTCTTTTCTTTAAAGGTCAGGCCACAAATGTTTTGGACATCCCTCGTACATACTTTACAAAAGAAGATCCCAAGACTTTTGAATCATGCCATGTGGAATTACACTTGCATTTTCCTGAAATTTTTATTCATCAAACATGCATGCCATTGGAAATTACAAGTCTTAGGACTTATCATGCACAAGATTCACAATGTCCAATGAAATATAAACAACCATTATTCTGTTTAATAAACCTTTTTCGTTTTTTTTGTAAAATGTAAATTATTTTATGTGTGTTTTTTTTTAAATCAAAGTGAAATTTTGGGACTTTTCCAAGATCATGACTACTTACAAACAACTGTTTATCTGTGACTTCTAGTACCGAAACTTTTAAGTCACTTTTCACCCCCTTTCCAAAATTTCAAGTACCTGTACAAATTCTGCATATCTCATTGTATCAGTGAAAAATGTAGTACTATACAAAGTTTGTAACAAGGAGTAAATTATATTCCCAAAAATTTTCATCAGGAGACGTAGCCTCATACCATGATATTAACATATACACAAACTCTTGCTTACAAGTGTAAAACAATTTAATGGTACCTGCTACTTGAGCTGGTATAGCTATATTTTGAATTTGACTCCCCAGTGACACACCAGGAATGAGGTAATGTTGATAAGCAGCAGTGGCAGCAGGTGTAACACCTGTAGTACCAGGGGCAGCAATGACATTCACTGTACCTGCCACTGGCTGAGCTAAGGCTATCCTCTGTCCCTGGGGCTGTAACTGGATAGAAGATGCTGAAGTGACATTGGTTTGGACTATCTGTTGCTCTGATGGAGTTATCTCCCTGGTTTCTGACTGAGAAACCTGTAAGAGAGTATTCCTAACTTGGGTTTGTTGGTCAGTATTCTGTGATGTTTGAAGCTCCAGGTGTCCACTCTTGTTGCCATTGGGCTCCCCACCAGCCTGGATCATGGCCCTTTAAGACCACTGAATCTAGAAATATAAATCATAAAGGTTACTAAACAGAAGTTTTAATTTTTTCTTTTCTTACAGTTTACAAAAAGAAAAACATTTAAAAGTTATCCATAACAGTTGTAATTTAAAGTTGACACATTACTGCTTATGATACATTCACTTTAATATAACAAATATAGTAGCACTGAAAGGTTATCTTAGGACATGAAAAGTTGCTTCCCTATAAAGTCTATTAGATTACAAAGAGGTCACATGGTCGGTCAAGTTGATTGAGCCCATGTTGAGAGATTTAAGCTGCGTCAGAATAATCTGAACATTTATTTTTCATAAGTTACAGTGAATAAGTGTTTAAAAATTGACATATAGAACGAGCTTAAAAATTTACATTAAAAGCCAGAACAAAATGCCTTCAGATCCAATATTTTAGGATTAAATTACTTTAATTCTAAACTGTATCATACATGTAAGATAGTACTAAATATGTAAGAAGCTGAATAGCATTCTGACTCTCCCTATAAGTTTACCACTACTACTAAAATTATTAAATATCTGTTGATGAAAATAAACTTTGTGACATTGTCAAACAACTTTTCACACAAATCTAATAAACTTTATTATCCTAAAAAAACTCAGTGTGAACATAAAATTATTTTCAAAGCATTTCCAAGAATGCACAAAATTTGATCAACAATACTGGAGTACCTGTTTTAAACATTTTCAAAATATATAAAAAATATAAACCGTAAAACTTAGACAATTTTCATGTTTGAAAAATATTTCAACCTTTTCTATAAACATCAATACTGTTCATCTAATCTCGTGTATTCTTGCAGTGTTTTGAAAAATAATTTTCTTCCCAACAACCTAAGATTTATTCAGTTACCTTGCATCTATATAGGCTAATCACATTGTTTATGTATTCAAGCACCCTCAGGAGAGTACGGTTGTTTATATGATGATGTACTTCATAACACTGATTATAAATAGTAAAATACAAGATATTACTAGTAGGCTGGGATTAAGTTATATTTACTTAGTTGTTAGGATACAGTTTACAATTTTACATAAACACAACTATGTGATAGCTATTCAATCATATGGTGGTGAACAGATTGAACACAACTAAATATAGGTGGTCAAGCACATGGACACTGGGGTGCAGCTTGACTGTACAAAAGGATATTAAAGTTAATAACATGTGCCACTTTGACTTGTTAAGTGTTGAGAACAAGATTTAATTTTTTTCTGTAAATAACTTCAAAGATAAAACTGCGAACTAAAATATTTCACAATACAAACATCTAACCTTGACTAACATAAAATGTCAGTTACAACTGCATTTAGTTGATTGCAGTAACAGGCAAACCCAGAAGACAAGTATCTGATGCACCTAATTTTGCCAACCTACAGGTACATTACTTTAAGAAATGATAAAAGTATAGGTAAATAACATTAAAAACCAAAGATTGTACAGTTTTTTTTTTACAGTAACATGTAGGCACTGTTGAATTTCTAAGCTCTGTAGTTGTGCTGAAATAAAACTACTTTTTTTGAACTGTTTCTACAAATACATACATTTAAAAAAGTTACATTACCCACAAGAAAAACATGAATTCTCCATACCAACTTTCTATACGCAAAAAAACCTTACTAATACTATCCCAAAATAACCCCAAGTTTCAAAACTTTCTGTGCACAACAAGGTATTGTACCATTTGTAAATCACGTGCATTTTAAGTTTGAAAGATGTCGCAGGCGATCTCTTCAACAGAGTCAACTGATAATTATGTTCACTTGCAAAGAAAGTATTTGGCTATTTGCAAGAACTTAGAAATGAACTGAAGAACACTCACTTTTTAATTTTTATAATATTCCAAAACAAGGACATGTGAAGTATAACATCTGCATGTTAAGCCATTTCTCTAAGCACCAAAGCTCATTACTTAGCAATGGCATCAAGCAAGAGAGAAAGCTAAATACAAGTGCTTATTACTTATTAATAGTATGTAGGTCGCGGTGTAGTGTTAGGGGTCCAAAATAACATTGCTATAAAAAAATCAAGAAGGAATCCTCATTAGCCATGGCACTTGAGATTCTTTTAAGCAGGATTAGAGTAAATTAATCTGCGAGACCCTTTTTATTAGCTATATTTTTGTGCACCAGCAATACCGAGTGTGGGGCACGGGTATATCCAATTTGATTTTATTACTCCTCAGGATCTCTACCAGCTTATCCTCAAATTGAAATTCTTTTAAGCAGGATTGGAATAAATTAATCTACAAGTCCTTGGGCGTGGTCAAATACATCATCTGAAACAGTTTGACCTCCCGAGTCCAAATCGGTCAAGAGATAGTGGAGCTATGATCTAAAAGGTATATAATGCAGGACAGTTCTACATCTGTAGACCTTGCAAAGGTATAAATTTAACATTTTATTGTTTTCTCAAGACAAAGTGGCTCATATCATGATCTAAAAGGTAGTGGGTGTTTTTTTTCAGGTTGAAATGCATTTTTTTTCCCTTTAGGCTTTACTGCAATCACAACCTGTTTATACATAATTGTTCATGGTGCATGTTTTATTATTATATTATATATTATTATTATTCTGTATG